AGAGATATCCTTTCGGGGTGGAGAGGCTACCTGAAAGAAACTGGAACAAAGGACAGTAACCACAGGGGTGAGAGTGATTGCTGGACCCAGACTAGAAGGAGGCTAATCTATAAAAGAAGCTTACTGGAACATCTCTGAGGGTGAGATTTCATCTGTAATCACTGTCTTACTGTATTAGGTTTAGACTTGTCTGTTATTTTATTTTGTTTGGTAACTTACTTTGTTCTGTCTGTTATTACTTGGGACCACTTAAATCCTACCTTTTGTAGTTAATAAAATCACTTTACACTTATTAATTAACCAAGAGTATGTACTAATACTGGGGGATGGGACAGCTGTGCATCTCTCTCTATCAGTGTTATAGAGGGTGAACAATTTAGGAGTTTACCCTGTATAAGTTTTATACAGGATAAAAATGGATTTATTTGGGGTTTGGACCCCACTGGGAGCTGGGCATCTGAGTGTTAGAGACAGGAACACTTCTTAAGCGGTTTCCAGTTTAGCCTGCAGCTTTTGTGGGACGTTGTTCAGACCTGGGTCTGGGTCTGTAGCGGGCAAGCGTGTCTGGCTCAAACCAGGCAGGGCTCTGAAGTCCCAAGCTGGCAGGGGACACAGGCTTAGAGGTAGTCTAAGCACATCAGTTGGCAGTTCCCAAGGGGTCTTCTGTGATCCAACCCGTCACACCTTCCTCCTCAAAAAACAAACCAACCCAGAAAAATTACGTACACTACCATACAAACCAACCCCAACCCCAAGACCTGGAACATCCAAAAAGTTTCCAAAACTAGATCTAGCCTCTGGCTAAAAATCAAGACAGGTGCACTACTCTCTTCCAGGCTATACCAATATACAGAGAAAGTGCTTTAGACTACCTGGTTAGTAGTAACCCAATAAAGCATGCTATAGTGATATATAAATAGCTCGATTACACTTACATCCTTGTGTAAAAAGAAAAGGAGTACTTGTGGCACCTTAGAGACTAACCAATTTACTTGAGCATAAGCTTTCGTGAGCTACAGCTCACTTCATCCGTCTAAGGTGCCACAAGTCCTCCTTTTCTTTTTGCGAATACAGACTAACACGGCTGCTACTCTGAAACCTATCCTTGTGTAAAGTAATTCTGTACCCATATAGAAGTATTTTTCCGAAGTTTGCCAGTTGAACACAATCATGCTGAAAATCTAACTGGTAGTTATTCACACTACTGGAGAAGCCATTATTTACAATCAACAAATTTATTAAATCATTAAGACATGTTCACAACTCTGAAAAATTAACAGTTATTATTAGGGCCGTAAAGCGATTAAAAAAATTAACTGTGATTAATCGTGTCATTAATCATGGTTAAACAATAAGAGAATACCATTTATTTAAATATTTTTGGATGTTTTCTACATTTTCAAATATATTGATTTCAATTACAACAAACTACAAAGTGTACAAGCACTCACTTTATATTTATTTTTGATTACAAATATTTGCACTGTAAAAAACAAAAGGAATAGTATTTTTCAATTCACCTAACACAAGTACCGTAGTGTAATCTCTTTATCAATGAAAGTTGAACTTACAAATGTAGAATTATGTACAAAAAAACCCCTGCATTCAAAAATAAAACAAAGTCCACTCAGTCCTACTTCTTGTTTATATCGGTTTACATTTGCGGGAGATAATGCTGCCCACTTCTTGTTTATATCACCTGAAAGGGAGAACAGGCGTTCGCATGGCACTGTTGTAGCCAGTGTCACAAGATATTTACATGCCAGATGCAGTAAAGATTCGTATGTCCCTTCATGCTTCAACCACCATTCCAGAGTACGTGTCCATGCTGATGATGGGTTCTGCTCGATAACGATCCAAAGCAGTGCATGTTCATTTTCATCATCAGAGTCAGATGCCACTAGCAGAAGGCTGATTTTCTGTTTTGAGGGTTCAGGTTTTAGAGATTCTGCATCGGAGTGTTGGTCTTTTAAGACTTCTGAAAGCATGCTCCACACGTCATCCCTCAGATTTTGGAAGGCACTTCAGATTTTTAAACCTTGGGTCAAGTGCTGTCACTATCTTTAGAAATCTCACATTGGTACCTTCTTTGCGTTTTGTCAGATTTGCAGTGAAAATGTTCTTAAAACGAATAACATTTGCTGGGTCATCATCCAAGACTGTTACAACATGAAGTATATGGTAGAATGTAGGTAAAAAAGGAGCAGGAGACATGCAATTCTCCCAGCAAGGAGTTCAATCACCAATTTAATGCTTTTTTTTTTTTTAAATAAGCATCATCAGCATAGAAGCATGTCCTCTCGAATGGTGGCCGAAGCATGAAGGGGCATATGAACGTTTAGCATATATGGCACGTAAATACCTTGCAATGTAGGCTACAAAAGTGCCATGTGAAGGCCTGTTCTCACAATCAGGTGACAATGTAAAGAAGCAGCGGACAGCATTATCTCCTGTAAATGTAAACAAACTTGTTTGTCTTAACAATTGGCTGAACAAGAAGTAGGACTGAGCGGACTTGTAGGCTCTAAAGTTTTACATTGTTTTGTTTGAATGCAGTTCTGTAACAAACAAAAATCTACATTTGTAAACTGCACATTCACCATAGAGATTGCACTGTAGTACTTGTATGAGCTGAACTGAAAAATACTATTTTATCATTTTTACAGTGTAAATATTTGTAATCAAATATGATAATATAAAGTAAGCAGTATACACTTAGTTTTCTGTGTTGTAATTGAAATCAATATATTTGAAAATGTAGAAAAACATTCACAAATATTTAATAAATTTCAATTGGTATTGTTTAACAGTGTGATTAAAACTGCAATTAATCGCAATTTTTTAAGTTAATTGTGTGAGTTAACTGTGATCAACAGCCCTAGTTATTATATTACTTGCTCAGCACCAGTGTGCTTGGTACTGTACAAAAACAGAAAATGACACAATCCTTGCCTTGTGGAGTTTACAATCCAAAAGATTAAGTTCAATTGAGGGAAGAGTATAGTGATCACTTATAAGAGATTGTGTGAAGAAATGGGTTTTTAAGGAAAGAGGGAGCTACTAACAAATGATAAAAAAAGTCTATCATAGTCATGGGGGCAGGTACAGAAGAGTGAAGGGAAAAAACAAAGGAATTAGGAAAAGAAAAATGGTTAGTCTCTAAGGTGCTACAAGTACTCCTTTTCTTTTTGCGAATACAGACTAACACGGCTGTTTCTCTGAAACCTGTCACAATTAGCAGTGAGCGTGAGAGAAAATGAGAGCAAAGATGGAGGTAGGACCATCTTATGCGCAGTCTCGGAGGCATGAATATTAAATGTGATGCAACAAACTGAAGTTCAAAAAAAAAGCAGAAATCAACATTCATAAAGATACAATACGTTTTCCAGGAGCTGAATTTAGACCCAGATTTTGAAGGTATTTAAGCATTGGTGCACTCAGTGTTGCAATGCTTATGCGATTTAGGGACCTAAATCTCATTTTCAGAAGTGATCTAGTCTAAGGCTATAAGTGCCTACAACACTTCTGAAAATGAGATTTAGGTCCCTAAATCGCATAAGCATTGCAACACTGAGTGCGCCAAGGCCTAAATACCTTTAAAATCTGGGCCTTTGAGGATAAACAGGACTTCAAATTGCTGAAGTGCACACAACAGTTCTATTCTGTACTCCAATAAAAACAGTCACGGCATGTCTATACTTGTCATTTAAAGCGCAAAAAGTCCCTTTTTTGCGCAAAAACCACGAGAGCGTTTACACTTGCCAATGACTTTTTGCTGTGAAACTCAGTCGTTTCACCGCAAACAGAAAACCACCTCCACAAGAGGCGTACAGTTCTTACAGGTGACACTTTTGTGGTGATGTGCAAGTGAAGACACATTCTTCCTGTTCACATGGCTTTTAGCCTCCTGAGGATATCCCACAGTGCCTAAGGTGACCACTCTGGCCAGCAGCTCTGACACCATGTAAACAGATGTCCTACCCCTCCCGCTGTAAAGCCTCAGGAACTTTAAAACTCCCCTTCCTGTTTTCTTGGCACGTGCTCACTTATCAGAGCAAATGATCCCCTGCTTAGAGCAGTGCTGAGCTACTGGAGCTGACCAGTGTTTGGGGAGAGGAGACTGTGCAGAGACCCAGGATGCCCCGCGATCACCCCTCCTTCCCACCAGACCTATCCTCAAAATGGAGAGAGCTGCACTGTGGGATAATTGCCCTCAATGCGCTGCTCTCATTGGCAATGTAAGTGTTACAAATGTGAACATGATCTGATGCCTGTGGAAGTAAGCGAGAACACAAACCAGCACTTTTCTTTTACCAGTTCCCTATCACTGGTGAAACTGACCGTGTAAAAACTCTGCAAATGTAGCCACAGCCTCAGTCAACAACAGGTAAGGTGAACAATCATTTCTGCACAACCAACATTCATCAAGTGATTAAATCTACTTCACTCATTTGGTATAATGTCACATTCATTATGGAAGAGCTGGGCTCTTCATAGCCTACCCTGAAAACAAACATCTCAAATTTTCTGTAGCTGGAGGACAGTTTGCTAGCCTTGACAACTTCCTTCTAGCAACACGACGGCGCAATTTGTGATCACCCACATGGATCAAAAATTTCCAAAATCCATTTTCTACTGGCCCTGATAGGTTTGCTTCTTGGTTATACTGATCATAGGTACATTTTGCTGCAAAGATCATACAGGAAGTCATTTCTTTAGTATTTTCAAAGGCAGAAGAGAACCATGATTTTGAGTGTCACTTGGCTGCAGGTAAAGAACATTATTGCTTCTGGGAGTGGAAATTAGAGCAATTTATAAAATGACAAGCAGCACTGTCTGTCTTCAAAAAGTGGAAATGTTGACCTCTATACAAGTGTCTAATGTGGGAAGCTCACTATTTTATGGATCTGGATTTACTGATCAGATGTAATGATCAAAATGATGGTTGCTTTAGTCAGTCTTAACAACAAACTCTACAGATTGCTTAATTTAACACTTACCTAAACTTGTAGGTTTAATGAGAACATCAAGCACATCATAAAATGGGAGGCTTTTTAGCTGAACATCAGGATGGACGGGTGGAATTGGAGGTGATGGTTGCTGCATCTCAAAGTGAGGCTTAGTGTCTTGAAGCAGCACAGAACCAACAGGCGACGAAGGGGATTGAGGGGTGACTGAAGTAGAAGGTAGTGGGTGGATTCCAGAAACAGCCAAGTCAGGTTCCACAGGAGAGGAGCTACTATCCAAATTGAAAACTGAAGGTTTTACAGGTGACAAGTCAGACAGACTTTCAATTGTCCTTGGGTACCGACGCCTATAGAGCTCTCGGATTTTAATTTGAACGGCTGGGCTGCAGCCACTCTTCAATAAATGCAGTGCCCTCATCAGGAGGTCATGTTTGCGCCCACTTTTATTACGTCCAGCAAAGCCCAACAACACTTGTAGTTCAGAAACTCGAAAACTTGATACCATATTCTAAAGGGAGAAAAAAGTTAAGGTTAGCACAGTACTCCCAATATGTACAGCATATAAAATTCATTTCTGCAAGTACATAGATTTTTATTGCTCAGGTTTAGTATTTATTCTTTAAAAACCAGTAGTGCCTCTCCCTAAGTATAGCTTTGCCCCTTGCGCATTTCCAAAATTTGAGTATGATCTTGCCTATTCAACTAGACCAGTGTTTGCTAAAGAGCGGGATCACTTCCTCAGGTATCAGAGTAGCAGCTGTGTTAGTCTGTATCTGCAAAAAGAAAAGGAGTACTTGTGGCACTTTAGAGACTAACAAATTTATTTGAGCATAAGCTTTTGTGAGCTACAGCTCACTTCATCGGATGGAATCCACTGAATGCATCCGATGAAGTGAGCTGTAGCTCACGAAAGCTTATGCTCAAATAGATTGGTTAGTCTCTAAAGTGCCACAAGTACTCCTTTTCTTTCCTCAGGTAGGATCAAAAGGAGGTGCAGTTGGTTTCTTCTCCTGAAGAAGGGCTCAGCTTTCCAGAGTTAGGGAAACCATGAACTAGATAGATAACTAATTTTGCAAAAATTTATATGAATTATGAATTGTTACTATTCAACGTCACTGATTTTTTCAAAGTAAAACAACATTTTAAAAAGGATTAGTGCTCATTTAAAGGTAATTTTGATTACCTTTTTTTTTTTAAAGTGCATCTAGGTCCCAAACAATAGTTACTACATGCCATTTCATAATTAACTCATTAATTTTCAGATCTGATTTCATGCTTTAGAAAATTAAAAGGATACTGTCAACTTAAAACTTCACACCCACCTGACCTTTCCCCTCCTATTATCACAAGTAGCACCTAAAAAAATAAAGGTTTCAGAGTAACAGCCGTGTTAGTCTGTATTTGCAAAAAGAAAAGGAGTACTTGTGGCACCTTAGAGAATAACCAATTTATATGAGCATAAGCTTTCGTGAGCTACAGCTCACTGTAGCTCACGAAAGCTTATGCTCAAATAAATTGGTTAGTCTCTAAGGTGCCACAAGTACTCCTTTTCTTTTTTAAAAAAATAAAGTCTTTCTTCAGCTTGTTTACTCTGTGAATTTGAGAGTTCTCTGTATTTAGACCGTTTACTATTTCACCTGTATATTCAGCTAGTCGGTCAGTTTTCCTGTTTGTAGAGGACTATTCCACAGAGAAGATAATTTTGAGAGAGAGGGAAACATGACTGGAAAATGTGTATGCAAAACCACAAGACTGATTTATTTCCCCCCTGCCAGAGGCAGGTTAATACATAAAGCTACTTGAAATCTAGTCAGTTTAACAAAAAATTGAAAGTTGAGAGTTCCTTGAAAAGACTCACTCAACACAACAGGGGGACCAGTTGCTGAGCTGGTGTTAAAATTCCAGTGGAACCCAGATTATCCGATCTAATTGGGACTGGGGCCAGATCAGATAACCAAAAATCCAAATAACCCAGAGAATGGTTTCCCGAGCCCTGGCCACTGTCTGCCCCAGGCAGCTGGTGCTTTGATAAATATGGAGAGCTGTATAATGGAGGCTCAGTTAAATGGGGTTCTACTGTAGTTTATTCCTGGTTCCCAGACAATGTTCTGTAAACCACGCCCTTCTATCCTATTATGACGACAACTAAGGGCCTCATTTTCAAAGGTGTGAAGCACCCACACTTCCCATTGACTTCAGCTGGAATTGAGGGAGAAAGATGAAGGGAAAACAGGAAAATCAGACCATACGTTTCTATTATTTCTTCCCATCACCATTAAACAATTATCCTTTAATTACTCATCTTGAATATTTACAATCTAAAATGTTTGAAGTGGGGTGTGTTTTTCCTAGACTATTAGCAGTTGACAGTAATTGTGATTGGAAAGGTAGTTTCTCATAAGAGTGTGATAAAGTCTTGGACAGTCTTGATACATCTTTTTAGTGGGAATTCCCATTAATACTTGGCTAACAGATGCCATCTAAAGGTACTATGATAACTGGCTACAGTTATTTGAACAGTAAAAGGTGGAGAGGAATTATGTAGAATGATACATGATATTGCTAGAAGTTACAGAATCAAAAAACTGCTGAAGGGAAGAATAACAGGAGAGATTTCATGAGACTGAAACACAGTAAGGTGTGCAATGTGGAAGTCTTCCAGAGGAAGTAGAGGAAGTCCCATGATCTGACACATTCTAGTATTTTGTCCAGGATAGCCATAAATGTACTGTAAGTAACAAAACTAACTAGCCAGGGAGATAACCAGATGACCTAAATAGGAGTTTGAAATGACAGGGACCTAGGATTCTATAAAATGTTATTTGTTTACTGCCAACTCCTAAATGGTCTTGGAATTTTTGAAAGTAAATAAAATATTGATATTGGAAACTGTTGACAATACATTTCAAGATAGTTTTATCCCTTATTTTGGTATTAGAGCAGATAAATCCATCATATAATTGTGGACTAGGTAAGTAGGGAAAAAGTTATTTTTAGTCTAAACCACAGTTGCCTCCACCAGAGCAGAGATGTAACACAGTTACTGATTTAAGAAAAGGAGTACTTGTGGCACCTTAGAGACTAACAAATTTATTTGAGCATAAGCTTTCATGAGCTACAGCTCACTTGCTGTAGCTGACGAAAGCTTATGCTCAAATAAATTTGTTAGTCTCTAAGGTGCCACAAGTACTCCTTTTCTTTTTGCAAATACAGACTAACACGGCTGCTACTCTGAAACGAGTTACTGATTTGTTATCCTAGTCTTCCCCCCCCAACCCCATGGTTGTATAGTTCCCAGCTCTGTATGTCCAATTCACATCACGCACTATACAGTTATTTCTCCGTAACAACTTGGTATTAGAATCACTGTAATCAAATTGGCTGTCAGCAGTTATTAGCCATATTGCAGGTATTGACATGATCTTTGAACTTCTATTTTTCAAACAATTTTACTGTAGATATGCAATTATTCTCCCACTATACAGTATAATACATCTGCTAAAATTAGCACACTCAGAATTCTCAAGTTGACTGCCAAAAAAAAAAAAAAAAAGTGTCACCTCAAATTCTCACTCCCTTCAGTTAAAACGGAAAATCTCCAAAAACTGAACATGAAAAAAAATGGATTTGAGATAAATATACATATCCAGCCATCCAGAAATGACTTTCAAACTGTCAAAAGGACATATACATTTTAAATCCTTTGACATATTTCCCTCCTTCAGGTCCAATCATGCTCCCTATGAAGTCAAATTTTTAAGGTTTATTTTTGGGCCTGGGATGGAGATTTAAAGAAAACATTGGGGCTTTAAAAAAATTAGCTTACATTAACAGTATAATTAAGAGTCTTGCAATGTATTTGAAATTTAGAAAAATATAAGAAAATAATAAAATTTTAATATTAAAAAGAAAAATGCTTTATTGGCTTAACATGCTCTTGGAGGTCAGACTGTTTATATACCAAATGCAACAAAGAAATGTTATAGCATTGTGAAATTCTTACTTTAGGTTTAGGGAACAAAACTTTTTGCTGATAGTCACAATGGATTCCATAAATACTAACAGAATTTAAACCAAAATGTAATGTGGAAACTCTTTTGATCAAGGATTAAAGAAACAGGCTATGTCTTGCAGTATGCTTTCCATTTCTCTTATTGCTGCTTGTGTGCATTCCTGAAAATTAATCAAGGCAAAATCTGCAGTCAAGCATATCTAGAAACAACTCATGCTTAATGTGGAAATTCTAAAGACTAAATTTTGCTATTGCATATTGTTATCAATGTCACAACCCCCAAGTTAAATGGAGAGTCAATGCTCCTCAGATACATCTTGTAAGTAGAAAAATATGTACACTGCACTGATGTACGAAACTTGTGCTTTTGAAGAAAAATATTGCTAACACTGATTTTACTGCAAGTGATTAAACACTCTCATTAACAGAGCATCCCACTTAGAGCTGCATTCTGCTTTCCCTTTAAGTCAACAGTAGTTTTGGATGTGTAAGGAATGCAGGATCAAGTCCCTATTTCATAATTTACTTCCTGATCCTGCAAACAGATCCATCAGAACGGACCTTATGTTTCTATGGATTCCCATTAAAATCAACAGGAACCTGTACGGGCATAAGCATCTACTCTTGTGGATCTATTTGCAAGATCATGCCTTAGTAATTTCCAGTAAATATTTCCATTTACAAGTTATACCTAATGTAGGTTCCAAAAAGTTGTTTTCATTTTTTGTTTGTTCTCTAGACACTGCAAAACTATAGCCTAGTTACCAGTGTGTTTTTCACACTACTGATCTGATATGGGCTATTGATGGTGTTTTCATGGTTTAGTTTTAATTTCTAGTCTCTCTTACATATAACCACCATCACCCTTTTTAAACATGGATGCAAGCTTCAGATGTAAAAATCAAATCTCTTCCAGCTATGACTTCATGCTTTGTCAAAGTTGCACCCGATCAGCTTCTTTCCTTTTTCTTTGGGGGGGAGGGGAGAGGGTGGCGGGTGTTGCGGCGGGCAGGAGAAAGTTTGAAGGAAGTTCTGTTGGACCATGTTTAAGTTTTAAAACAGGAAAAATAGTCTGGGAACTTCAAGTGGTTTTTCCTGTGCTTTTATAATTCAAGTGTGTTTTTGCAAAAACAAGATTTTGAAGGTCAATAGATCCAAATAATATAGACAGGAAAGTTTCACCCATTTAAAAAGAAGTTGAAATCAAAGTAGTTCTTCCTTTTCCTAAGTAGAAGTTACTATTCAAAAACTAGTCATGGTTGTTTCAATTCAAGCTTTAAGTGTAGCAGGTGAACAGTGACTGAGCTTTCCAAAGTAATCTAGGGAATTTAGGTATTTTCCACTGAAATTAATGGAAAGCACATGTCTAAATCCACTACTCCACTTGGAAAAAAACTCAACCAAGTAGTACTTGAATCTCTACATTCTTTTTCCCAACTCATCTTTTACTCTGCAGACTGCTAATAGTGCTGCTAATCCACTTACATACCACCTTTCAGCCAAAGATCTCAAGACTGTCACAGGCAATGAGTAGGGCCTTATCAAATTCACAGTCCATTCTAGTCAATATCATGGCCACAGAATTTGAAAATTAGTCAATTTCACATTTTCAGATGTTTACATCTGAAATTTCAGGGTGTTGTAACCATGGAGGTCCCAACCCAAAAGGGAGTCATGGGGGAAGGTGGCAAAGCGTGTGTGTGTGTGTAAGTACGAGAAGGCATGATCCATGGGATTGCCATCCTCACTTCTCCGCTGCCTTCAGAGCTAGGTTCTGAAGGCTGCAGCCCTGGAGCTTCCTGCAGTCACAGGAGGTTTACTGGAGGTGGAGGTAAGTCTGACCTCCCCCATACTGCTGGGGGTGCCCCAGGGGCTCCTAGCTGCTAGTCCCAGCCGGGCTGGGGAGGGACAGGACTTGCTCTTCCCTGCCCAGCCCCGGAGCTTCCTGCAGCTGGGGTAGGTAGCCCGAGGTGGGTCTGATCTCCCTGCCCAGAGCAGCTGTGCAGGGGAAGATTAAGTCTCATCTATTCCCAGTCCAGGGGTGGACTAGCAGCAGGAGCCACGGCCCGGTAGGAGCCCCTAGCTGGGGTGCCCCCATCACTGCCCCTCCCCTGCAATAGCTAGATTTCATGGTCTGTGACATGTTTCATGGCCATGAATTTGGAAGGGCCCTAGCAATGAGAGTTTACGTGATTTGGCCAAGGTGGCTCAGCAACACTGTGACAGACTCATGAACAGAACAAGGCCTCCTCATTCTAGTTCTCTACTCTACACTCATGTAACAAAAATTATGTTAGCAAGATTAATTCAAAAATAAGTATGTGCACTGAAATAAATGGAGCTATTCTTGTTTACACCATCTGATTATCTGGCCCTAATAGGGAGGGCAAGAAAAACAATGCAATGTATAGCTAATGAGGAAATGCAGAAATTAAGCACTAGGTTTTCAAAGCTGCATGCATCCCAGTGCATGGTATTGTAAACCATAATTGCATGCTTGTGTTGGATGCCCACAAATCTCTGAAAACTTGGCCCTACATGCTCACCACTCAGGTATTAAGGAGCAACCCATAGCTTTTTTACCCTATGAAATGGATTATCTCACTTTTTTCCCCCCATTAACATTCTTTAAATATCGCTTGTGTGAATTACTGGATTTTAAAAATCTAGAGTATTACAATTCATCTCCCCCCGCCCCGCAATTTAATATCTAAGGTACCAAACCTGTAACACAAAATCTGTTCAAATCAGTGGGATACTTGTGTGCAGGGACTGCAGGATGAAGTCCCAAGTGTTACAGATTATCTTCCATCTACAATTAATCAGTTATTTTATTAAACTGAATGAATGGAATGTTCTAAACAATGTTGAGATCTCTCCATCATATAGTTACAGACAACTGTTCACTGTCTAGTCACAGCTGCATTCCACCACTCAAGTTTTATCAAGAATTACACATTGGCTTTGGGTTAGAAATCATAAACCCAGAGCCCCTGATGCAAGTAATACATGACAAAAACTGAAAGATGTGCACAATGGGACATAAGATAAACAAAATTCATCCACTTTATAATATGCTGTTTCCTTCCTAGCTAGCAATTGAGAACCCATGCTTTAAAATGCATTATTATACTGGATAAAATTAAATGGGTTAAGTGCAGTGGTTTTAATTTTATACTTGAACAACTAATGTTACACAGTATGGCAGTAGTACAGTTTACTGTAGATATACAAAAATGTTTTGTATACCTGCACATCCTATTACCATTTTCTTCCTCTATTTCTTAATACTAAGGACACATATAGCACTTTACATGTTGTAAACATTGTACGAATACTAACTAATCCTCACAATATTCTCGTTAAGTAGGCAACTATTCTCCCCATTTTACAAAGTGTGGAAATGGATGCAGAAAAGTTAAGTATCTTGTCTATGGCTGCACAAGGATTCTGTTGTGGAACTGAAGTTTAAAACTCAGAAGTTTGAGACTTCCGAACTTGCATGCACTCCTCTCAGCCACGGTGTCTTTTGAGTAGGATATTATTAGTCCCTTGCTCTGTTCACTGATTAGATGCGTCTCAGCAAGTATTACCCAGTCAGAAAGCAGATGTAGTTATTAAAATGAGATGCTACTTACTTTCCATTGTTTACAAGCCCTAACGAAACCTGATGTGGATTCAAACTTCTTTTTAGGTACAGAAATGTGGATCCACTTGAATTTCTTTCTGCTGGCACATTCTTCTTTCCTTCCAAATGGCATGACAGGTTCCCAATGTCACACCTAATTTGTTTCCTAATATAAAAGGAATGAACATGTATATTCTTGTTCACCTAAAACTTTTCTATTGTCCACACAGATGGAAGTCTTCCTTCTAAAAACACAAAATATTAAGAGATAAGCACAAATGTGTGCTTCTTTCAACCTAAACCTTAGAGTTCCTCAGATTGCCACAATGCTTTTAAAAGAAATACCATTATACACTATGCAGTTAAACCATCTTGATCAATATTCACCTTATCTTTCCACAATGTTAAGGTCTGTGAGCGGTAAGGCTTACTCTGGATGTTTTTGGTAACAACTTTTCTCAAGACTTTCTTGAAACTATGTTCAGAGCATTGTTTTGCTCAGGAACGACAATGACCATTTGTATGAGACACAACAAAAGCTTATACTTTAATGCAATAGTCTTTATACAAATACACCAAAGTATAATAAAAAGCATTCAATTTTACAAAACAAATAGAGTACCGTGACAATCCGTGACACCCCTCCAAAAAAATTGGGAATATGGTGGCTACAAGATCTCCTGGTTTTCTTTAACCACAATGAAAGGCTTACTGCCCCAACCTTTTGGTAATGGTTCCCCACACAGTATGTTAATACCACAATCATAAAACACAACATAAAAATGCCTTTTCACCCCAGAAAGCTGAGCACACTGCCTCTACAGCATTCTCACACTCTGTTGGCCTAAAAAACCCCAGAATCAAGCTTGAAGCCTGAACTCTGATCTGCTGCTTCTAAACTGCCAGTGACCTTACTTATAAAAATTGAGCTTTCCAAGCTGCCCTAATGTCCCTTCACAAGACAGGTAGAGACCACATATTGAAGTGAACAGCTTGCTCAGCATCAGTGTAGCAAGTAACTCTGCCACAGACAATACTGTAGATTAATCCACAAAACAGTAATTTAGGGAGGAAATTTTTGGAGGTTTATCCATAAAAGCAGTTTGAGAAGACGACATTCTCCTCCTTGACTGTGGGGCATGCAGGAGTGGCTGTCAAAAAGAAACTGTCTAAAAGAAAAGGATATCTGTGAATTGAATTTCTGTAATTCAGATCACTAATCCAAACAGGTGAGCTTCATGCTCCGTCTTTTAAACTGTGATCTATCAATGGGAATAAAGGCCTTAATGGCTAGACGTGCACTGCATTGCACTCTCTCCAGCAGCAACATAGGATCACAAAAAGGGCTCATAAACCACCACCTTCCCTGTGCTAAACAGACATCAAGATAGTCTCTGGACTAGAGGATCCAGATCACAGACAGCCCAGTTTACAAATAAGATAAATAGAAATTGAAACATCAGAGCCATCACTTTGGACCAACAGTCACTATCTAGCATTACCCTAGAACTCTTACAAAGAAAGGGCAATCCAGGGGTTAGGCACTAGCCTGGAACTGAAGAGACCCAGGTCTCTACTCCACTACAAACTTCTTGTGTGACCTTGGGCAAGTCATTACGACCTAAATGCCTCTAAAAATATGAACATTACTCACTCAGCAATGCAAGGCCTATGTGACTTAGGAGCCTAAGTCTCACTGAAGTTAATGGTACTTAGGTCTTGCAATGTTGAGCAGAGCAATGCTGAAATACTTTTTAAAAATCTGGTTTCAGAGTAGCAGCCGTGTTAGTCTGTATTCGCAAAAAGAAAAGGAGCACTTGTGGCACCTTAGAGACAAACAAATTTGTCTCTAAGGTGCCACAAGTAGTCCTTTTCTTTTTAAAAATCTGTGCCTGAGTCTTTCTGGCCCCACTGTCTTATCTGTAAAATGGGGGAAACAACATTTCCGCTCAGAGGAAGTGTTCTGAAAATATCTACATTGAGGATTGAGAGTCACTGAGGTGCCTCGACAATGGGGAATTTTTTTTCCCCTAGCAATATATCTTATCTAACCAATAACTGAGGCAGGAATATAAACTGGGTATGAGGATAAGGGAAAGCATAGTTTTCCTCATCAAATCCTACCCTCATCATGGAAGTTGGAGGCTCCTATAATTTACAATGAATGTGATCCTGCCCCTATTCTCCACTGCAATGGTTTTCAAACTTTTTAAACTGTGTACCCTGCTTTCCAAATAATGCAGTCTACTGTGTACCCCCATTGGAGATAGGGTCACCATATACCTATGAAAGGGGGGGGGGGAAGAGAAGAGAGATACGGTCTGTAAGGGATAACATCATGCGTGTCTGCCAATACAGGATTTTTCTCACATGCCTCAATGAAATCTTACGTACCACTAAAGGGTATGCGTATCCCAGTTTGAAAACCACTGCTCTCCTGGATCATTTAATTCACCAGACTAGTAATAATATAAAGCTTTCTTGGATCATACAGCCCTCTATCAGCCATAGCAAGGGACAATCTACATAGATGTGTATAGTTTATTAATGCACCATACAAATCACATCCCTCAAAGGGCTTACAGTTAAAGCTACTTTAGCTATGCTCCTGCACAGTAGTAATATGCTTAATGACCACATATAACTTACTTCCTGCTATCTGGCGTTATGAGGAGATAAAAATAGAGGGGAAGATAAAGCAGCACAACCAACAATCAAATTGTAGAAGGGGAGAATTTACAGAAGTTTCTATCTATAGAAGTATGGAGAAGGAAGAGTCCCTTCCAGACAATTTAAGCCGTGTCAAAACCTACATTGTCTAGTGAAGAAATTCAGGATGTCCACCTCTACACTGGACATTTCAGATGTATATTTCCAATTCATTCGGAATGTAATTAGGGGCTAGATGGAATGAACTTTATGGGAACCTTTTATCTTATACCTCCTTTGAGACAACACCCATTTTGCTATATCCTCCTTTCTATTGCAAACTGCAAGTGAGCTAAAACAAGAGACTGAAGTTCCCTGGTGTAGAGTTTGCAGGGAGACAAGACCATCAATAGTAGGACATGGGAAGGGGGGTTGGAACACCAAACGAGCAAACCCAAAAAAGCCAACAAAACAAAACCACACCTATATTGCCTGAAAAAAAAAAAAAAAAAAAAGAAAAAAGAAAAAATCTTACTAAATCAATTCAGAAAGAAAGCTCATATTCAGGAAGACCAAACTCTGCTCTTCCCTCAAATCCTATCTGGACTAGGAAAATTCCCCACCAGGGCTGTGACCAATTTGTTTGAACCAATGTGAGCACTGGTGGGAGCCCTAACACAGGCAGAGCTCTGGCAACTGCCAGCGTTTCCCACATGTTAGTTAAGCCTGGTGAAAAGGAGCCTACCTACTAGAGTCTTCTCTACACCAGGGCTCCCACTGGTGCTAGCACTGGGGTTCATGTTAATTGGTGACAGCAGAAATCCCTACCGTAGACAAAGTTTAAGAGTGGTTTTGCAAACCTACACACAGAACTCCCACTGCAAGCATGGCACTCTTGCAGACTTGGGCTGTATTTACTAAAAATAAGAATATGAAGGAAAATGTCATATACCAAAAAAAGATGTTTGCAGATGCTTTAAGGAAATTAAAAAGATATTAAAAAAAAGCAGATGTAGTCAGCTCTTTGTATTAGACTTTTAACAGATATTCAAAGGAAGAAATGTGCTTGATGTTGAAAGTGTTTATAGGAGTTCAATGTAACGGTGTAAAAAGATATCGAGTGAAAAAGGGTAGATGGAATAGTTCTGCCACAGAAAAATACACAAATGCAAGGGCTATGGAAATTGGTATACTGTTCACAAATTCATTCAATTAATATATTTGGATGGCAAATTTAACCTCTCAAATCTGATTTTAAAAATCAGTTTGAGAGTCCTCCTAGCCCCCAATTAATACAAAATGATACACATTTCTGTGAAATAGAGAAAAAAGGTACCATACGTGACTGCATAATTGTCTCCTTTCAGATCTCAATTACAAATCATCTCACTTAGTAGGCAGAAATTTTCTATACTAGTGTAAACTGGATGTAATCATAAGGATGATTTCAAGATGTCGGAAAACAATCTCAACATGAAAATGGAAACCAGGATTTGCAAGTTTTCCACTCCTCTACCTCTAAAAAAAGTAAGACAATAGAAAGCATTTTTCTTGAAGTCAAAGAACATACAGGTGAGGGCTACAAGGTCATTGAGATGTGCTAATGAAAGATAGTGTGTGTGCCCGCACAAAGCACCTTAACTTGAGGCCTGCATTCATCTCTAACTTCAAGTCACATTTAAAAGACAGCTTAAGTGTTCTCCCTTTTTAGATTAAAAAAAAAAAAAGCCACATTCACAATGAATTGTGTGTGTGTGTGTGTGTGTGTGTGTGTGTGTGTGTGTGAAGGGGGGGGGGGTCCTCTCCTCTCCCCCACCTAACTTTGGCAAATAACAATTCGAGAGATCAATGCCCGGGCATGCAATCACAGAAAGCTCCAAATCTGGGGAGCAAGGGCAGGACACCTCCACTTGGACTGCCCCCGCCCCCCATCCCCGTTTGGGAAGTATGAATGTAACCTGGGCCCTCAGCAGTGTGCGAGCACTTGGGGGGGGGGGGGGGGGGGGCGCACACCCTGAGGCGGCAGATTGGGAAGGAGACGCGGTGGGGGGGGGGGGGGAGATCCGGGCTAGTGGGTCAAGACCCTGAGGGGCTGGAAGGACGCGGGGGAGGGAAGACCCTGGTGGGGGCTGGCAGATGAGGTGGTGACCCCCAAAAGGCCAGTGGGAGAGGGCGGGGGGGGGTAGACTCTATATCAGTGACCGGCCCCGGCTCAGGGGTCCAGCCCGAGCTGTGGGCGCGGGGAGGCCGGCACTCGGGGTAGCGACGAGTTTTGTCCTCACCCTCAGCGCCTCGAAATCCGCCATTTTCTACCCGCTGCCGCCGCCGGGCGCCGCCGCAGCCGCCACCATCCTGCACCCTCTGTGCGCTCCCCACGTGACGGGGCGGGCTCCGCAGCCCATCCGGCCCCGCTGCGCACGGGGGCGGGGCGGGCGCTCGGCCACGGACCCTCAGGGGGTGGGGAGAAGGGGTGGTTCCGTGCCCTTGCCATCGCCGCCCCACAGCATCCCTATACCCCCTCCGACAGCACCCCTTCCCCACAGCACCCCCACCCGACAGCATCCCCCTGCCCCCTCACACCCACCCGACAGCATCCCCCGCCCCACAGCACCCCATGGCCCCTCACACCCCACCTACTGCATCCCCGCCCCACAGCACCCCATGCACCCCCACGCGACAGCATCCCCCTGCCCCGTCACACCCGCCCCACAGCACCCCATGCACCCCCACCCGACAGCATCCCCCTCCCCCACACCCCACCTACTGCATCCCCACCCGACAGCATCCCCGCCCCACAGCACCCCATGCCCCCTCACACCCCACTTACTGCATCCCCGCCCCACAGCACCGCATGCACCCCCACCCGACAGCATCCCCCTACCCCCTCACACCCCACCTACTGCATCCCCGCCCCACAGCACTGCATGCACCCCCACCCAACAGCATCCCTCTTCCCGACAGCATCCGCCTGCTCCCTCACACCCCACCTGACTGCATCCCTGCCCCCACGGCACCCCCGTACCTGGCAGCACCCCACGCCCTCCCCACACCTGACAGTGTCCCTTCCCCACAGCACCCCTCACCCACCAACAGCACCCCCATGCCCTCCCCACTACACCCGCTCCATCACAGCACCCCCATGCCTAACAGTGTCCCTTCCCCACAGCATCCCCCACCTTCACCCACAGACAGCACCCCAATGTCCTCCCCACTGCACCCCCATAATCCCCCCTCCTCACTACACTCCTTTCCACACAGCATCCTCATGACTCACACATCCCCCCCCCCCCCCCGCATGACTTCCTAGCTGTAAGAAGAGTAGGACAATGGAACAGACTGCCTAGAGAGGTTGTGAAAGCTCCTTCACTGGAGGTTTTCAAAAAGGAGGCTGGAGAGCCATCTGGCTTGGGAGGGGGTTAGACTAGATGACCCTGGTGGTCCCCTTCTAATCCTGTGATTCTAGGGCAGCATCCCCTCCCCACAGCATCACCATATCACTCATTCCACCCAGTCCCTGACAGTATCCCATGCCCATGGCATCACAGTCCATCCCCCCCAAATCCTCCCCACAGCATCACAATGTCCCCCATCTCTCCCTGGCCTGACACCATATACCCCACATACTTCCCCACAGCCTGTGTTCCCCACTATGTCCCCCCAGCCGGCACTGTTCTCCCTACAACATATCCTCCCTACAGCCCACCTGGCATCATCCCTCATACCCTGCCCTCTACATCACCATGTCTTGCCCCCACTACTACCCTGCCCACCTGACACCCTCCTCTTTACTACATCCCCCACCACATAGCCTCCCCACCTGGCACTGCCCCCCCTGCAACAAGGCCAACAAGGCCACCCCATAGACATCACTATGACTGTCTCAAACACAACTGTCACTGTTGTCTCCCCATGAGGCCTCCTTACAGCATCACCTTCCCGTCATGCCCCCCTCTTCACCTGGCATCATTCCCTCCCCTTCTTGGCAGCCCCCTGCAATGAGGCTTCCACACAGCATCACATCTTCCCCACTAGAATCATAGAATATTAGGGTTGGAAGGGACCCAGGAGGTCATCTAGTCCAACCCCCTGCTTGAAGCAGGACCAATCCCCAATTTTTGCCCCAGATCCCTAAATGGCCCCCTCAAGAATTGAACTCACAACCATGGGTTTAGCAGGCCAATGCTCAAACCACTGAGCTATCCCTCCCCCAAGAGACTGTCCCTCCACATTATGTGGCCTTCATACAGCATCATGGCCTGGCCCCCTCATAACATGACCCCGCTGCACTGTTGCAGTCTGGTTCAACACTTGACTTCCCCTCACACCACCATCTGCACAGCATCACTTACTGTCCCACTCTCCCAGAATATCATCACAAAACAACCTCCAAATATAACTATTCTTGATTTATATGATACCCAATGTGCACATAGAACGAGACAGGCCCTGTCATAAACCATTTACAATCTAAAAATCTATCATGTTGAACTGCAAATTGCCCCCTATGCCTGGAATACCTCCCCCTCCTCTTCGTATCTTCCTTAAAATCCACCACTTCTACCAGTCCCTCGTCTTCAACCCCTCCCTCTTCTGAACGACTGTCCATTCTCTTGTCTTGGACTGGTCAGGGAATATCACCATATATGTTTGTAAAGCCTCATAAACTTTTACAAATGTTGTATATTGTATCTCATATCACAGTAAAAGGAGTTTTAGAAATATACAAGATAGTTGTTTTCAAAAGAGTAATCCACTGCTAGATGCGGTAATAGGGAAATACGTTTAAAATGCTTTTTAACTAATTCACGATGGAGTCTTCCTCAAAATTGATATTTACTTGTACTGCAGCAATGCCTAGGGGCCCCAGTCATAGATCAGAGCCCACTTTGTTCACAGAACGTACATTAAAAGACATCTCTGCCCCCAGAAAGCTTACAACTGAAGTAGAAAATCATAGAATGCTAATAAAGACCTATAAATCTTGTTTGACATGACAGAAAGATGATAAGCACAACAAAAATCTTAACTAGTTAGTCTTGAACTACAGCTAGTTCAAATCTAGTCCAGATAAATAATGACTGAAAAGTGTTGGTTGTCCATTTGGTGAATTCAGTTCTTCGTGAATAAGCATCCAGATCATAAAAGCCAGAAGACTAGGAGTTATTTGGCACTATTGTGTGTGGAGTTAGAAAAAACAAAAACTACCTCCTCACCCCACAAACCATCCTTCCAGGTCTGGACTAAGGCATATGAAAGGAAGTGGTAGCACAAGCTTGCATTGCTACTGTTCCTGTTCTGTGGATAGAGGATTTCAGCCACCATGACTGTCAAACATTTACCAAAGAAACATTTAATTTCTAAAAAAAAGTCTTACAACATATGGGTACAGAATGCATTTATCTATATTTTATCAAAAAGTCTTTATTTATAGTCTTACCTATGACCTCTCTAGCACTGTAGTAGCTGTTGAAGTATTAGCCTATTTTACAGAAGGGCAATGGAAGCAAAGAAATTAATTAATTTGCCCAATCTCAAAGAGGAAGTCTGTGGCAGAGTTGATATTAGAATCCAGATTTCCTGAATCCCTGTCCAGCACCTTAACAAGAATATTTATTATTCTTTTGGACAGAAGTGTGAGCTTCAACTATTGAATTTTTGTTTGTTTATATGAAGTGATGTTATTCTATTAATGTGAGGGAAGGTAGCATAGCTGTCATAAGTCTGAACATGTTAAAGTGCAATATCTATATATATTGGAATTATTATCCCATAATTTCATTGCTCTCAGTTTTATCCATTTACTATCAGATACAGTCTCATCACAACAGAAGTGATAATGAGATATTTTTGCTTCATTTTTATTAATAAAAATGTAGTAAAAAATGTCACTGGCAGTAAATTTTGAAATGGAATAATGGGTCTCCTGCTGCAAAGGAAATGCTGAGACATTTACAGCAAAACAAACACTGAAGTGCAACTGAAAAGCATATTTCAAAAGCAGCTAGAGAGAATTATCTAATTACAATAATTGCCTAGTCACAATATTCAGTTTTGTTGGCAATGTTGCTGTTAAGTCAAACAACCGATTTATTAAAAGGCAATATGGAGCCAACAAACAGGCAAGCAACCAGACCAGCTCACGTAGGGAGATTGTGAGAAGACACAGAAGAGGCATTAAAAAAAGGAAGATACAGGCTTTCTGCCCCAGAAGGTTTTGAAATTCCAAAATTTCCTGCAGTCAGCAAGAAGGGACACTTTTATTTTAAGCTTGTAACAAATATACAAAATGTTTTTAAAAAACATTTCAAAACAGAAGGCTCTAGACTATGAGTTAGCCACGGCCTGTGCAGCAGGCCACGCTGTAACGAGTGCTGTCAGGAAGAATTCTGGCTAACTCTTCTGGGGAGCGCATACTGAAGTGAGAATTCCACTGCCCTGGGACAGAGGGCAACATGCAAATCCCCACTCAAGCCCAATCAGCTCTGCTGACCATGGAAGACTGCAAACATTGCACCGCCCTTGCTCTTTTGGGGAGGCTGGTAGTGGTACGCCACACACAGCATCTACACTCGCTTGTCACATTGGGATCAACAACTCTAAAAGATTGCATCATGTTATAACCTTGAGGTGTCACATTAATTAATTCAATGTTAAACACAAATTTGCAGTCAGTTTAGACAGGGACCTTTGTGTTTAGCACCATGTCAGCTGGTTGCAGATGGACCTCATGGTTCCATCAAGGTTAAACCATGATTAGGGATGACTTGTCCTGCCTACTGACTGTAAACTCATGTTTAACAAAGTTGTCACAACTCTTCAAGATTGTCATAACACAACTTGATTTAGTCATTCATTTATTTATTTAGCAAAGACGAGCCCATTGCAGCTAGCCTAGGGGGAGGAAGGCTCCTGGTGCCCTTGTCCCATCCCTTCTGTACAACCTACCATAATCTGGCTCAAAAATTCAAGATAGTAAACTAAATAAACCCATGTAGCATCTGAAATTCTGTACTAGAATAAGTTCTAGCACAAAAAGTTAGGTTCAGTTAGACCATTACACACACATCATGCAGCCCAACCAACCAAACCAGATCTTATTCATGGAGGTTAGGTCCATCAGTGACTATTAGCCAAGATAGTCAGGGATGCAATCCCATGATCTGGGTGTCCCTAAACCTCGGACTGCCAGAAGCTGGGACTGGATGAGAGGGGAAGGATCACTTGATAATTGCCCTGTTCTGTTCATTCCCTCTGAAGCATTGAGCACTGGTTACTGTCAGAGTACAGCATATTGGGCTAGATCAGTGGTTCCCAAACTGGGGTTTGCAAAATGTTACAGGGGGTTCTTGGGGAAAAATTCCCTAATGATGGACAGAGC